GTTTTAGAGAGCACATCACCATGACGTTATATATATATATCTCACTATTTTTTCTGCCTTTCCCTCACCACCATCCCAACTTATCCAAGAGAATGTAAGCATCATAAAAATGGGGACATTAATTGTTCACAACTCTATTACTCAAAGAACACACTGAATGAGCTCTCAAATGTTTACAAGGTAAATAAATCTTCAAAAGCGAATTATTTGGTTGAAGCATTATCCTGTAAACCCACCTAAAGGTTGCAGTTGGATTTCCAGTCAGGACACATACCTAGGTTGCAGGTTCGATCCTAGTTGGGGCACGTACAGGGACAACTGATTAATGTTTCTCCCTTTCTCTCTCTCCCGCTACCCTCTTTCCTCTCTTTAAAAATCAATAAACATACCCTCCAGTGAGGATTTTTTTTAAGAGAGAAAAAAGTGAATATTCCAAAACAAGAATGTAGTATTTCTATTTATTACAGTCTTTTTTTGTCTTTCAGTAAAAAAATTTTTCCCCTAATCCTCACTGGAGGATATGTATTTTTTAAATTGATTAGAAAGAGAAGGCAAGGAAGGAGGGAGGGAGAGAAACATTGATGTGAAAGAGAAACATTGTTCAGTTGCCTTCTGAATGCACCCCAACCAGGGGTCGAACCTGCAACCTAGGCATGTGCCCTGACCAGGAATTGAACCCACAACCTTTTGGTGCACAGGACAACAGTCCAACCAACCGAGCCACCCAACTAGGGATTAAGTTTTCTTTATATTTCTCAAAAAAGCTAATCTGAAGAATATCAGCATATATCACACAAAGTATGCTAAATTCTGGTTTAAAAACTTTTTAAAAAACATATTGATTTCAGAGAGGAAGGGAAAGGGAGAAAGAGATAGAAACATCAATGATTAGAGAGAATCATTAATCAGCTGCATCCTGCATGAAACCTGCAACCCGGGCATGTGCCCTGACCGGGAATCGAACTGTGACCTCTTGGTTCATAGGTCGAAGCTCAACCACTAAGCCACACCAGCCGGGCTAAGAAATTTTTGTTATATATAAATGTATAATGATGAAAAATGTACTTATTAAGAGTCAGTAAGAACAATGGAAATACAATGATATATGAGATGTATTGAGGAAGAGAAACTTGGCAAAGGGTGTGGAGGGGAAGGTAGAATAGGAAGAAGGAAAGGAAGCAATAGTAAGATAATGCTAAGAAGTAAGTGTTATCCAACTGTGAGTCAGCAAAGGCCTCAATTAGGCCACTAACGTAGACAAGAGAAGGAAGAGAGTTCTGAGGAAAAATTACAGACTTCCTCCATCTCCCATGAAATAAGACAAAACTAAACTATTTGAAAAAAAGAAATCATATTTGTTTTACCCACTTTATTCCAAGTAATTTTCTGAGAAATAGTAAATATTAAAATTTGGAATGTTTTGCTTTCAAGTTGCATTACAAATAATTCTTACCTTGCTCTCTCTTTCTAATTCACTTCGCAGCCATTCAAAGTCACTGTATCTTCTTCTAACTGTAGATTCCTTCAGCTTGAAAATAGGCAGATTTGTCTGAAACAAAAAAGGTCACTCCTAAATTGAAGCATATTACAGGGACTTTCAAATAAGGAGTGGTGAGATCTGTTTGTCAAATTAATAACATGGCAAACCTGGTGACCTTAAGATAAGAAAGTCACAAAGTTATTAAGGTGTCATTTTATCTTTAGCAAAATGAACCTTAGCTGTTAAAGAAGTATGTTATTTACACTACAGTACACTTTCTATATGCACATTTGCACATATACTATTGGATGTCATTCTGTCTGAGGTTAGTTACATAAACAAAAGATTTTGTTTTGTATGAAAAACGTACTTATTAAGAGTCAGTAAAAACACTGGAAATACAATGATATATGAGATGTATTGAGGAAGAGAAACTTGGCAAAGGGTGTGGAGGGGAAGGTAGAATAGGAAGAAGGAAAGGAAGCAATAGTAAGATAATGCTAAGAAGTAAGTGTTATCCAACTGTGAGTCAGCAAAGGCCTCAATTAGGCCACTAACGTAGACAAGAGAAGGAAGAGAGTTCTGAGGAAAAATTACAGACTTCCTCCATCTCCCATGAAATAAGACAAAACTAAACTATTTGAAAAAAAGAAATCATATTTGTTTTACCCACTTTATTCCAAGTAATTTTCTGAGAAATAGTAAATATTAAAATTTGGAATGTTTTGCTTTCAAGTTGCATTACAAATAATTCTTACCTTGCTCTCTCTTTCTAATTCACTTCGCAGCCATTCAAAGTCACTGTATCTTCTTCTAACTGTAGATTCCTTCAGCTTGAAAATAGGCAGATTTGTCTGAAACAAAAAAGGTCACTCCTAAATTGAAGCATATTACAGGGACTTTCAAATAAGGAGTGGTGAGATCTGTTTGTCAAATTAATAACATGGCAAACCTGGTGACCTTAAGATAAGAAAGTCACAAAGTTATTAAGGTGTCATTTTATCTTTAGCAAAATGAAGCTTAGCTGTTAAAAAAGTATGTTATTTACACTACAGTACACTTCCTATATGCACATTTGCACATGTACTATTGGATGTCATTCTGTCTGAGGTTAGTTACATAAACAAAAGATTTTGTTTTGTTTTACATAAACAAATAGATTTTTTCTATTTCAGTGATTTATAAAAATGTCAACTGAACAGGGTGAAGATACAGCTAGCTGATTGCAATCCAGTTTAAATAGCACCTCAGTATATAATGCTCATTAGAGAAATAGACCTTAACTACTTTGAAATGAAATACAAAATATTTTATTGTTACTAGATTAGATGTTGCATAATGGAAGAAATAAAGAATTATTCTTAATGATCTTTAAAAATGCCAAAAAGTCACTCTTGACACTAGTAGGAAACCAAGAACCATACACTTTAGATCAGATTCACAGATCCAGAGCTTTACAGGCTGAGGGGAAAATTAACAATGAGAAACATAGTGCCCAGTACTTGGAGGTTACATCCAAGTGGAAGAAAACTTTTAGAGATTGCAAAAATCACTTCTGTCAACTTCTAAGTTTAAAGTAACAAGAAAGACTTCTGTTATCTTTTACTGATCCCTAAAAAAAGAGAGAACATAGTACCAAATCCAATAAAAAGTGGTTTATGATTAAGGACAATTAGCGGAAGCTGTATAGCATCACAATTTTATTATCAAGAATAATATTTTTTAAGAATAAATTTTATGAGCCCTCATTCACTGCTGGTGGGAATGTATACTGGTACAGCCTCTATGGAAAACAATATGGTAACCCCCTCTTCTGGGTATCTACCCCCAAAATTTGAAAACATTTGTTTGTAAAAATATATGTACCCCTATGTTCATTGCAGCATTATTCACAGTGGCCAAGACATGAAAACAAAGTGTCCTTCAATAGATTGTTGGATAAAGATGTGGTACATATATACGATGGAATACTACTCAGCTATAAGAAAAGGTAAAATACTACTATTTGTAACAATATGGACAGAACTTGAGAATATAATGCTAAAAAAAGTAAGTCAGACAGAAAAAGTCAAGAACCATGATTTTACTCAGATGTAGGATATAAAACTGAAAACAACAAACAGGGGGGTGGGAGTGGCTGGGGAGAGGTTAATGGGGGGGAAAGGAGACATACGTAATACTTTAAACCAGTGGTTCTCAACCTGTGGGTCGCGACCCCTTTGGGGGTCGAACGACCCTTTCACAGGGGTCGCCTAAGACCATCGGAAAACACATATATAATTACATATTGTTTTTGTGATTAATCACTATGCTTTAATTATGTTCAATTTGTAACAATGAAATTGGGGGTCACCACAACATGAGGAACTGTATTAAAGGGTCGAGGCATTAGAAAGGTTGAGAACCACTGCTTTAAACAATAAAGAATTATAAATAAATAAATAAAATAATTTTTAAAACCACAAATGAACAAACAGGTTCTAGCTAGTCTGGATAGAGTGGATAAAGTGTCGGCCTGCAGACTGCAGGGTCCCGGGTTCGATTCCAGTCAAGGGCACATGCCCAGGTTTCGGGCTCGATCCTCAGTAGGGGGCATGCAGGAGGCAGCCGGTTAATGGTTCTCTTTCTTTTTTCTTTTTTTTGGGAATATTAACTGTTTTTATTTTTATTTTTTTAATTTTGTTTTGTTGCTTAAAGTATTACAAAGAGTATTATATATGTCTCCTGTTTTTCCCTTCTTGATATTCCCCCGGCTTAATGGTTCTCTTTCATCACTGATGTTTACATCTCTCTCTTCCTCTCTGAAATCAATAAAACTATAAAAAAAAATATGAACAAACAAGACAAACAAACAAAAACTCAGACACAGACAACAGTATGGTAGTTACCAGAGGGAAAAGGGGGTGGGAGAGAGGTAGTAGGGTAAAAGGGATCAAATACAAGATGATGGAGAGAGATGTGACTCTGGGTGGTAAACACACAATGCAATATACAGATAATGTATCACAGAATTGTACACTTGAAAGTATATAATTTTATTAACCAATGTCACTCCAATAAGTTTAATTTTAAAAAGAATAGATTTTAAAATGCACATATCACAATGTTTGTAGGGAACAGAATTACCTAACACAATTAATATTATATCATACTGAAAATGATACTTAATACTACAGTTGACCCTTGAATGACACAGGTTTGAACTTCAAGGTTCCAATTAGGCTTGGCTTTTTTTTTTCTCCTCTCTTTTTTTAAAGTATTGTTTTTGTTTTTTTAAATGGTTTTTATTGACTTTTTAGAGAGAGAGAGAGGGAGAGGGGAAGAGAGTAATAGAAACATCACTGAGAAACATCAACATTGATCAGCTGTCTCTTATATGCTCCCCTGCTAGGGATCAAGCCCACAACCTGGGCATGTACCCTGACTCGATGGGGATCAAGCCCACAACCTGGGCATGTACCCTGACTTGGAATCGAACCAGCGATCATGGGTCAACACTCAACCACTGAGCAACACTGGTCGGGCATTTTTCCTCCCAATAAATATATAGAAAAATTTCATGGAGATCTGCAATAATCTGAAAAAACTCACAAGCCTTGTAGCCTAGAAATATGAAAAATATTTTAAAAAGTTAGATACACTATGAATGCATTAAATATATATAGATACTAGTCTATTTTATCATTTACTACCATAAAATATCTACAAATCTATTGTAAAAAGTTAAAACACAATTACAGACCATACATCACACCATTGGCTGTTGAGAGAAATGTAAACAAATGTAAAGATTAAATCATAACTGCATAAAATGAACTGTAGTAATACTGTGCTACTGTAATAATTTCATAGTGACCTGTTGTATCAACTATACTAGGTTACCCTAAAACAGTCATATATGCTTCTTTGTTATCAATTCATGAAACTTTATACCTGTAAATATGAATTTCTTTTTCATAATATCTTTACATTTTTAGTATCCAGTATGAGTAATACATGTAACATCTATAGTGTTTTGTATTAGATAAGGCAATATTGATGTAAGTTGTGACAGACAATTCATTGCTAAACAAATGACATGAACTTACGGTATTGATAAATACAGCCCAATACTGTAAATGTAGTTTATTGTCCTTATGATGTTCTTAGTAACATTTTCTTTCCTCGGGCTTACTTAATTGTAAGACTATAGTATATAATACATATAACATACAAAACATGTGTCAATAGACTATTTATGTTATGGGTAAGGCTTCCAGCCAACAGTAGGCTATTAGGAGTTAAGTTTTGGGGAAGTCAAGTTGCAGGAGGATTTTCAACTGCATGGGGGGTTGGCACCCCAACCGCCAGTGCTGTTCAAGAGTCAAATGTATATACTTTCAGATTAACTGGTCCTTACTTCAACCTTTGCACTTATAGAACTATAAACTGTTTTAGAGCTGAAAAAAAAAGTTAACTGCCACTAAAAGAAAAGACTGCCTTCTTATTTTGTATACAAATCATCATATAAAATTCACTCGTAAGAAAATTCCAATCATTTGTTAAACTTAATGCCACTGGTAATTGTCATTCAGCTAAAGAGAAGCTTTTTATTCAGGATCTTAAACCCACTTTGTAGTGGTCTAAGCTTTTTCTAAAGTGTATTAACTTCTCTATGTTGTATACCTTATAGCTTGGAATCTTCTACAGATGCTATTGGGCATAACACTGTATAGATTTCAAGCATGAAACCAAATCTCACAAGAGGTTTAAAAGCACTTGAATTTTCTTTCCCAGGTAACCACAACATTTGTCCATTGTATTAATGACTAAGAGCAAAATGCACCTAACAAGACTCTTATTATACTAAAAGTCAAGCTTATATTTAGAGATGCTGGCTTGCTGTACAGAGAGGTATTCTCATTCCCCACAGGGAATAAAATTAGGTCCCCTGGAGAGCAGGATGATAATTCCCAGAAAGAAAGCACTGGATTATTTCTCTCTAATTTCACTCATTGGCTTTTTAACCAAGTTCACCCTTCCGCATTAAAATATTAAGTCTTTGTAAGTGTCTACAGGTAGAAAGGCCTTTATAGAATTGAGTGTTTTATGCAGGTGAGATTTTACATTTTGAATTCCCTCCTCTCAAATTACTTTACAAAGGGGATTAGCTGCTCTCTTTATTCAGTATGTTAAGATCAAGCTTGTGAAAAGAGTTCCCTAAGAATTTTCATACTTCTGGGTACGGAAGTCTATAAAGTTAATCTCTGAAACAACATATCAAGCTTACAGGTACAATGTTGAGGGAAGAGTGCCAATCTGGCTCATTTTACCTCCCATTTTCCCTTTTGAACTTTTGACACAATCATGATTATATCTGATTCACTTTAATAGTAGGGGAGTGGGAGGGAGAAAAAAATCCAATCCTTTCTATGATTAGCTAATAGTTTGACAGATTATACATTAAAAAAGGATCATGGTTAGTTTAAAGAAAATTCTTTTATTTAGTTTTCTCAGCTGGCTATGATTTCTCTTTGTATAAAGACTGCCATATTTTTTTTCAGGGGTCCTCAAACTACGGCCCACGGGCCACATGCAAATACAAATATTGTATTTGTTCCCGTTTTGTTTTTTTACTTCAAAATAAGATATGTGCAGTGTGCATAGGAATTTATTCATAGTTTTTTTTTTTAAACTATAGTCCGGCCCTCCAACGGTCTGAGGGACAGTGAACTGGCCCCCTGTTTAAAAAGTTTGAGGACCCCTGCTTTTGATAGTCACATCAAGTAATTCTTAATATTATTTGCTCATTGCTTTAGAGTGTAAGTTTGCCTGTCAATGTCTTCCTGATCATCACAAGGAATTTCAATTCAACTTGATCAAA